CTTATCTTTTGCGACCGCAAGAGCCTCAACAACCTCGCTTTTTGCAGTGAGATCCCAGGCTCACTATCTATATACTGGCAAGCGTGCTCTTCAATGGTACTACATCTTGCTCATAGAATATTTTGAAGGGTTTCATGACCCACTTGAGTAAATTGTTGGAAAGCCGGCTTGTAATTGTTCACCAAATTCTTAGAACATCGAGATTTTACTTCTACCTTATTTTCTCGTCTCTAATATGAGACTAAAGCTACGCTCTGCCTGTCCATGTAACGGGCTTTTGTCGGCTATTTGAGTTTGTTTCAGGCAGGTGCTAAAAATACAACTGCCAACTGTCAACTGCCGAGGTTGTAGTTGACTCACCTCTCACCCGGCGGCGTATTGCGAGGATCAACAAAAGCTCGATCAACTCTCTAGGCCCTCGTCATGATGTCAATCCCATTGTCGGAGGAAAACCCCTTTCAATCCTTGATTGCCGAGGCAAACGACGATTCGGTGGGTGGATGCGAGAATTATGAAACTATCAGATGTTTAACCCTTTTTGATCTAATAATAGGCAATAATACAATCTCGATACGAGAACCACCGAGTGGCTCGCAATAGCCAGCAAAGTGCACAAATTCTAGCCGACGGCTTTCCAGGCTGGTCCCTTGACGAGATTTTGAAGCGACTTGATGGCCCTGAGAAGGAAGACGGATTTGCTGATCCTCGAAACTGTCTTGTCATTTGGGCCAGACCATCGCCTCAAGTCTGCGACATGATACGCTTTATTCAGAATGAGTTGAAGAGCATTTCTCCTTGTAAGTTCACCAATATAGAATTCCCTGGCGCGGGATTTCCTTTTTAGCCCTTCATTTCGCTAACATGAGTGGTCATAGCACTCTGGTTGATGCCACCTTCAAACCTTCACATAACTGTCTTGGAAGCCGCTCATTCCCTGACGGAAGAACAAATCGAAGAACTTGTTCAGACACTCCTGTCATCCAAGGATGTCACGCCTGCGGATATTGCGGCATATCCACGCAGCCACCCCACGCGTCTCATCAAGCCTATGATAAGCTTTGATTCTGCCGCACTAGCGCTCAGCTTTGTTCCGGCTGCTAGTGAGTGCCTAGAAACAGAACCTAGTAGCGATAACGAGCACTACACATACCATCATCTTCGCCGTGATGTATTTGACATGGTCCGACAAGCCAAGGTCCCTGTTGCTTCGCGTTATATCGTTCCCTCCGCACATCTCACCATCGCAAGGTTCATCTCCCAGGATGGGTTTCTAGTCAGGGGATCAGATGGCGCAGAGACGGTGGACCATTCGCGAGTCAAGCTGTTGATTGATAAAATTGATGAGATTAACCAGAGGTTGAAAAATGAGTATTGGCCCAAGGAGGGTGCGGATGCGGTCAGGGACGGGGGTGAATGGATTGTTGGGCAAGAGGGTCTAGTCATTCGGAGAGGCCGTCTTTGGTATGGAGGGGGTGAGGATGTGCCACTTGACTAGATCTTTGCGTTGGAAGATTGAGCTCTGCCTATTCTCCTAGACTAGAAGGGTTTTGCATGTTGACTATGCGTACCGAATTCCTTAACTAGACCTTCCTCTACGAGTCGTGCTACCGTTTGCCAACTTACGTGTCGAGCATAATCATGAACTATCGCTTGGTGTATGGACGATGAAAAGATCCACATAAGATATATTTAGCAGGCGGGTGAGCGCCATTGCAGAGTCGTATGTCGCAACTATCAGTTTCTGTGCTTGAAAGCCTGAGCTCAACCCACGCGATGTCACGTGCTAGTACAATTCCTCAAAATGGCGCAAAAGAAGCAATGCAAATGTATTTTAATGATAGATTACTATATCAGATGGTAGATATTCAATCATAAATTCCAATAACATCTACTGAAATCAAATAAGTCGACCTTGGTGAGCGTCAAATAGCATTTAAGCTTGGTCCCACTCTGCTTTGCCCTATAAAGCACATTGGTTCAAAAATTACAACGCGGCCGGCTGGCCCAATGGCAAGGCGCTTGACTACGAATCAAGAGATTGCAGGTTCGATCCCTGCGTCGGTCATCTCTTTTTGTTTCTTATTTTTTTGCTGTTTGAGATTTAAGAGTTTCTGCTACAATAATTGTTATAGTGGTTAATATTTCAATCCACGAGTTTGGGAAACTGGAAGATACCAGTTGAATTGCAGAGTCTAAGTAGATTGATAACTCTGCTTTAGGCAAGCCCGAGAATACAGTAGACTGGGTGATTTGGTCCAATGTGATCATTTCTAGTTCAGGTGATCGAACAATGAGCGATGCATTTGTTAGATCTATGAGCGCACCCCCGAACCTGTTTATTATAAGAAAAAAAATATATCAGAAGATAAAAGCAACATACCGGGAATCATTTGACAAGAATTTCAAACTCGGATCTGTAATATTGGCTTTTGGGTTGGAAAGTAGCCATTCTGGTATTGCGTGCGGATCGAAGAAGGCAAGGATATTCAGCAGTATTTTCCCTTCGATGGACAGGGATCGAGAGGAAGCCTTGCAACTCGTTGACCCATCTTCATATTGCGAAGACATAGTTTATATGGCGAATATATTCTCAGTAGGTTTTTTTATAGACAAGCAAACCACATAGGAATAGCTACGGTCATTTGGGAATAGGCAAAACCGTCTCAACTGGCCGGCAAAATGCGGAGTTAATCTTGGTATCTCGGTATGTATCTCTGGCCCTAATCCTTGTCGACTTCTCGCGTTCGTATAATGGAGGAAAACAGGAGATGGATTCCTATGGACACCGGATCATGTTCTGCTCATCACACAAATTATGAATCGTCCCTCACTGCATGAAGCTCAGCATTGTGGAAGGTTAAGCGCCCGCCAAGGCCAATTAAGTGAGCGTTTTATGTCGACCTACATGATACGTTGCCCAAGTCATATATATAATGAACACCGAAAACCTTCCAACCATAGTCGATTGCATTACTTCCATTTCCAATCAGACAAACCTAATAAAATCCGACCTACGACGTTTCCTCCGTTAAACACGAGACAATAAGCTTCCAAATCAGATCGCCAAGCCACGTACACTCAATTAAGAAAGGCTCGGTCCGTCATAGCACGCTATTTCATATCAACCAATAAGCTTTCTTCTTATTTGCTCCACATAGTATACGCGCCCACAATGTACTGAAAGCTGAAAGCTGAAACAGTCATGAAGGGGTTAATGCGGCTGGGTAATTTTAGTGGCGGAGATGAAAGCGATAGGACAAATGCGATCCTGGTCAATATTAATCCTATACTATCCGGCAGCAGTCAAGCAACGGATTAGCGTTTTCATTTCCTATAATAACGCCATACTATGGTTTCCAACAAAGCCAGTTAGTAGCACAGCAGCCTATTCATCTACAAAGAATGTTTATTAAGTGACTTACAGGAAACCAACGAGCCCATAAGATTTCTATCTCTAGAGCGTTTTTGGTTTTTGCTAAGGACTCCCACAATGACCTACGAAAAATACAACCTCGGGTCAAACTACGAAGGACACATACCACGCATATTAGCATCGATATGAGCTGGTACGACCCATGGCTATTTCAACAGCTGCAGAATTTACCTCACAGCCTTGTGCAACTCCGAGTTGGAACATGCAAAATTCAAGACAAGCAGAGCCTAAAAACTCTTTTTGAGGGCATTGAAGAATACTGCGCACGGGAAACTGAGGCGGTCTCTATTGATGAAATCACTGCATACTTACGAGAAACTGGAGTCTTCGATCACACAAAGGCGCTGCACGGCCATCAAACGCTTCTTGTCTTTGCCGCTCTTGGTTGGCGTTCTATGTTGTACCAAGCTGCTTTCAACGTCTGCTCAATGCAAGAATTAGCTATCCATGAAGACTCCGACCAGCCACAGTCAGGTCTTGTTTTTGATATGTATAAAATCCCGGCTGAACTGTCCGACCGCCCGATTTCTGTTCTACTCAAAGCTTTTGGGCACCTTTTACCAGCGCGATCCTCGAATTCTCGCTATCTTGCAAGCGAGGTTGGTGGGATAGCATCTATTTGGCAGCCCTTGAATCCCGAAGAGACCAATGCATATCTACTTCATGTTTTGCTTCGTGTTCAAATTCGATGGGTCGATACTCTATCACTGCACCTTGACTATGACAAAAGCACTAAGACCTTATGCCTCTTCAGATATCCGTCATTTTGTCTTGAAATGCTTCGATCCCACGGGTTGATCTACTCTTTTTCTAGCAATGAAAGCTTCTCAGGGGATCCTCGTTCAAACGAAGAAGAAATTTCGCTATTTCTGCAAGAGGTGCTTTTATCCTATCGTCTTCTTTTTGCCCAGTCGGCCCCATCGAGGAAACTCTTTCGCCAAATATATACGATGTCGGATTTGCAGAGCTACCCGACAGATTCCTTACTTTTTCAGTTGTGCACCCAGAAGCGGATTGCGTTGACAATGCTCCCAACAGACAAGCCAATCTATTTCGCTGCCCGAGACTTTCCCGTGCTGTATGACAGGATCGAGCTCATGGCTAATGATCTCAAGGATGCAAGACCAAGCTCAATCTTCAGTCTGATGAAAGACAGACGTGATACTTTGACGTACTGGACATTTTGGCTTGTGGCTATGTTCGGCGGCATTAGCATTCTTTTGACTTTGGTTCAAGTTATCTTACAGGGCGTGTCAATGATGTAGGCCCTATTGAATGAATAATCAAGCATCGAGCTATTTCAAGGGTATCTAGTATGAAAGTGAATTCATACTTCGCAAGTCGTCACATGGCCATTAAATCGGGCAGACCTTGTGTTGTTTGAAGGGGTTGTCTTTCCTTCATCCATCTCAGTCAACTGTTCATTTCCTTTCGTGTCTTCTGGAGAATCCGACCCTCGGCAACCAAGTACTTCGGTCATGTGATCGAAATTATACTACCCCGCTCCTAACAATGTCCTTACTCTGACCCTCCTCCATTATTCTATCATACAGAAGGAATATCCAACATGTCGATTACCCATATCGTTCTTTTCCAGTTCAAGCCGGAAGTAGCCGCTGAGGTTGTCCACGATGTACGTTTTTTACCAAAATTATCACAGATGAACTTGACTGTGTACTATAAACCCTTAATGGATGTTGACAAGTACCTCAAAAGGCCTGTGAGCGTATGCTAGGTCTCAAGGATAGTTGCGTTCATCCCACCTCCCAGAAGCCCTATATCAAATCGGCGTCTGGCGGGAAGGATAACTCTTCCGAAGGTATCCAAGTAAGTTCCCTGGGATCCCAGAGGACGAACTCTGAGGATATCTTACTAATGCATGATAGAATGGCATTACACACGCATTTGTCGTAGAGTTTGCGAGTGCTGCAGATAGAGACTATTATGTACAAAGCGATCCCTCTCATCTGGCCTTCGTTAAAACTCTTGGTGGGATCATCGAGAAAGCACAAGTCATTGACTTCACTAATGGAGTTCTCTGAGGTTCTCAGTGACTGCTTCAAGTGTCCACATATCTGATTTTATGGGACATATAGATACTGTGAAAGAATAGACCGCATGTTATATTCGTTCGCAATCATATATACGCTACCAATTATTTCATGCAGCAGCCTAGGGACTTCTAGTACAGATTATATATCAGCAGCTAAAGCTTCCTAACTTGGCTATATGCCTTGCACTAATCCAAAACTTGGTATTTGGGCAGACCTATATTTTAAGATTATTAACATACTCATGACCGCTCACCCATAGCACAGACAAATCCAGAGCATTTGTGGGTTGATCCGCAGAGTGCAAATATTTCTGTGTACAAACGTCCAACAAGAATGGATCCTCAGCGCAAGGAATAATATCTCCCGGCAAAATAGTAAGGCTCTTCTAGATCTAGAGTTTAATGACCAGGAATGTAAGCCAAGCTCGAGGTTCGCGAAGCACTCTGTCGGAGCTAGCCGATGCGCCAATAATATCTTGTTCTCAGATAGGCACCGGGTTTTCTAGCTGAAAACTCTAGATCTAGAAGAGCCTTGCATTGCGAGGACTGTAAGCATACCAAATCCGAGCTTAGTACCCATGGGTTTAACGTTTACCAGAATTGTAGTTATACGTTGGATACCTGAAGACAATAAGATTCAATAGATGTTTAGATTGAGTTCTCGTAAATATATCATCGAGCGTATTTCAAAACTTCAAGAATTCCTCATCCCTGCGGTTTCGGTAAGTTAGGGCTCTACTCTGTTTTCTCGGTGAAACAACCTACAACAATTATACCTGACATAGAGAAATTAGAGTAAAAGATAGCTTGGGTCAGTTCTTCTGCTGTCTTCCATCTTACAATTGATGATATGAATGAGCACTGCGTGAAACCTTTGTGAGCTGTTCTTTGACTCGGCATTGCTCCGAAGCAAGGGAGAAGCGAGATAAAAAAACGCGCCAACCATTCCCGAGCCTCGCAGCCACCCGCAAGGTCTTTTATTTCGATTGAATAGCGGAACGGGAAACGGGAAACCGAATGGAGAAATTTGCCTTGTTTCGGAATGGCCAATGTGGCTGGAACATTGGGGTGATGTTCTCATTGTGAAAGGTCTTAAAATTGCCTTCATTGTCTTTGAGCCTGTGTATACACTTGACCTCCAAGAGGACTACCGAATAAACCGCGGTAGATATGAACACATAGTTATCTAACGCGAACAATGGCTCAACCCGCAGGATCACCCCTGTCAGTGATAAATTCGTAATCGATCGACACGGCTACGAAGCTAATGATCGACGATGCATCCTAAAATTGGTTGCCGAGAACCGGGTCTTATGAACGCCCGATTTCCGAGACAAAGACAAAGAAAACGAGGCAAAGAAACATTTTAATTGAGCTGGTGAGCTTGCATGGAAAAGAAGAAAAACCTATTATCCCCAGACCTAGGAACAAGGAATCCCGAGCTTCCAAGACCCTCACAGGGTTCATTCATGCACATATCCGACTCGGCAAACGGAGATTTCAGGGATCGGCGGCTAGTTAGTATTATTGAAATGTCGTGTACAGAAAAAAAAAAAAAAACCAAAAAGAACCGAATAGACAAAACTTTAAAGAAAGATAAGTCTCTAATCCAAAAGTGGAAAAGGAGACACGAAGAATGAGAGGGATATGTTTCGCCAGCACACGAGGTTTTCTCTGCTTCTTCTCCCTTTTACCCCTTTGGTCTGGGCTGCTTTGCACTTGATCCACTGAGGGGCGAATACCTAATCTGCATGGGTCTCTAACGCCAGCATATCTTCCCTGCAGGCTGCAGGTCATGGCTGCCGCTTGTAATGCCCATCTATATTGCGTCCGATGAGTTGCAGCAGATCGTGGGTGAGAGATAGATACCCGTAGAAGCGAGATCGCCTCGGGGGATAGACACTTGAACTCTCAAGAGCCGGAATAGGTCAAAGGGACTTCAAGCATTCGGAACTCTCTGCGCAAAGCCAATCCGATGCAAGACAGGCTCCCCAGGGAGGACCCACTGCCGCCGCCAGGGAGCGAACTGCCAGATTGGAGTCCTGCCGAGCCTGTCATTCTCTCCATGCCAGACGGTGGTCGCCTAGTTCAACCGGGGTGAGACTGTGGATCGGTTCGTCCTTGACACGCCGAGAATAGCATAGATGTGCATAACTCCATACTAATATATGTGCTCTCGCCCGCCGGTTCTTTGACTCTCTTTCATTCTCTAAGCACACCTCAATGGTGTAAAGCGGTTGCAACCTTTTTCTTTTTTATTCTAATTTTCTTTGGGTGTTGTCATCCCTAGTCTCTCGTTTCGCTTTGTCACTCGTTGTATAGTATTTGTTGCACCTCCAAGCGTCGCCTTTATTCCTTTCATTGCCTTATTCGCATCCAAGGACATCCTAGCTGGAATCGCCATTGTTGCAAGTCCCCGCGAATCGCCTAGCACTTTATAAGAGCTCCTTATCCGCCGACCGGATCAAATCGAAACACCATCAATCCAACATGGAATGCTTTCGCCAAATTTTCCGGTGCCTAAAGGCACCTTTCAAACGCGACAAGGGAAGAATTATTGAAATTGTAAGTCGAGTCGAAGACCGGGGAATCGTTCGTCATTGCAAAGACGGTCGCTAACAAGTTTATGAAACAGGGTCCTCCCACTAATTTCCGAAAAGAAGAATTGCCTGCTTATTTTTCTGATGCCGAGTCAGTTCTCTCGCCCAGCCAAGATCCAGCGGAACGATCAAATCTGACCAATCAATCACAGGACGCTTACGTCCGAGGACAGCCGCATAGCGACCGTGGAGAAGGACGAAACAACGATCGAGATGCTATCGCTACCATCGTCGACGAAGAGCAAGATGCGGGCCCATGTTCGAAGAATGAGCGTGAGACTATCCGAGAGCGCGTGAAGTTATCCCGATGGTGGAAATCAAGCCCAGCTTCAGATCATAAAACTAAGGCCCCGGCTGAATCGATCAAGATGGAGGAAATGCGAAACGCCGATTTGGCGTGTTCATAGGGAAATTGTGCATTGGTATATGGATGGTCACACCAAGAAGGTGGGCACTTCGGTGTGCCGGGATCTTTTTGCATCTAAATTGTTCCCTCCGCCTGTTACAGGCGATTGTCTTGCAGGAGATTCCTTGGACTTGTCAGATATAGAGTAATTTATCCGAGATGACTCTGGTAGTTCATCGAGGTCATCGAAAAGCGATTGAACCCGTGATTTATACGCGTTCGCTGGACTGGGTCGCCCATGTGTCGGCTTCGCTTTCGGTTTTGACGTAGACATGCTTGGTATTTCAAATTGTTGCCGGGCTCGTAGTGTTGTCTGATCGTGAGCCTGAGCTTTTCGTAAAGTGGAATTTGTTCCCTTGGGCGGTGGTAGCACTGGCCGGGGTTCTAGGTCAAGATCGTCATCGTCATTGTCATCCGAGCCCGAGGCCGTCTCTTCATCCAGTTCAATGCTTATAACTTCTGATACTCTTGACGGTGCAGTGAAACTTCCGATACTGTTCACCCGGGCTCGTCCAGTAGCCAAAGTCGGTGCTTGTCCAAAGCCCGCAGCAGCTCTAGTAGAGGACTTTGGCGCGTGAGCTCCCGCTAAAGACCGGGTTTTTCGTGGGCTCGTCATAAGGTCGTGGAGATGTGTTCCAGCCCATCTCTCATCATCATCATCTTCTTCATCTTTCTCCTCGACTTCTCCATCCCCTATATGTGCGAGTCCAGCTTTTTGTCGCTCCCTCAGCGCTTCAGCTTCTCTTTTTCGCTCAACCTCATTTGGTAGTGAGGTACGCCCGTCTGTAGGCCTCTCAATTTCTCTTATCCCGGCTGCGTGTTCGGCTTTCACCTGCTTTCGCCGTCGCAGGTACTCGGCGTGATGTAGATGTTGAGTAAATGTTTGCGCGACGGCGTAGAACTCGTCCTCGACCATGACCCAGCCGTCATCGTGTTCAATACCCTCAATCAAAAATCTATAACGTGCTTGTTAGCGACTTCGTCTGGTTGTGCGTGGTCTGGTTGCGATCATACTCTTCGGATGGACAACGTCTGATGGGAGAGGTCGGCGGGCTTTGGGCTGTACAAAGTAATCAGTCTTTATGTTTCGTCTCAAATATTCGAAGATTAGAAGAGACCTACATGATCTGAAGAAATCACGCCTGGGGGGAGAAACTCGAGGGTTTTTGGGAGTGAGGTCGCGATCAGCAAGTTCCGTCTTCACGCGCTTCCGCGGTGTTGACTTTTTTTTCACAGGGGTGGTATTCTCAGCGCGAAGCCAGGGCAATGTCCTGGGCATAATTAAGATAATATAGACCGAAATTAACAGGTCGCTTGGTGTCGTGATTTTAGGGGAAGATTACAGTGGAGGGAAAGAGAGCTGATAGGCATCCGTAGCCGATAAGGTGAGGTCACCCGCATTCCGCGCAAAATAGATCTTCGATTTTGGAGCTTCACTACGGACTGGAGAATTTGCAAGTATAAGCCTCGTTATTTGGGGTATCTAATGTCATTTGGACATTGGTAATGCAAGATGAAAAGAACTGGGATGGCCTCAAACGCCCCGTGCAGGATATATCACCGAAATCAAGAACGAACTGCCGGTAGAACGCCATTCAAGGGAAACAAAAAAAGAAAGGAAACGCCAGCATCTCTGCAAGCAAAAGTCCGATTACACCTCACCAGGCCGCTTGCTATTGCAGCTCACGATCTTCACCTTGTCCGCGGATACAGTTGTCTGGTTGTCTAGCTTGAACGAGACATCCTTGATCAAGAAGGTCCAGACTTCGTCGCAGAATCGGTAGGTGTCGAGGTGGCCCTAAAAGAAGTAGAAAAATGTATACATCAGCCTCATTGAACTATGATCAAGCAATGCTCATCTGGGCAAGGGTGTTCTCTGAACCGGAATGAGTTACCTTGAAGGTCAGTCTGGCCCGAACTTTGTCCGCCAAGACTTCAGTGACAATCTTGTCAAAGGTCCCAAGGATCTTCATCGCCAGCTGGGGCTCGATACGGCCCTCATTGATCAGGTCGTCGAGGGTATCGGTGAGGGATAACCCGAGGCTGAATGTTCCTTGGGTCAGTTCTGAAACTTTCCGTTTGTTTCATAGGGTATATTACCTGCTGCCACGGTAAAGCTCATAGTAAGCTACTGATGCCATTCTGAGATAAAATAATGGCAGACTAGTCGAGAGAGTATCGGGGGAGTGATTGACAGGAGCAAGTTCATGATCGCCGGCCGAATCGCGGGGGGCGGTCGCCAGCACGTGATCTCAATATGGTCACGTGTATATTCTTATCTCAAATTGCGTCAGAGTCAGATGAATTGAATGTGTTGGAACTTATTTTTGACATCACAAAACTCTCAGTAAACAGACGACAAATTCTTAAAACTACTGCATTATGATTGTGAAGGGGTTAGGGCCTCGATCTCCTCTCAATAGAAGATTGTTCAGTCAATTGCAAGTTCATTGTGTACGATCCTTATCGACAAGCTTGTTCAGACCATCGGAAGCTCAAGGTCAGTCAGTTCCGTTCAAATGCCCAAGTCAGAGCTAACTGCAATGCTCCTGAATTTTAGACCCTCAAGGCTACCAAATTACTAAATCCAAGCAAGAGAAAACCAATCAGACACCAGACGACTCCTCGAACAAAGACAACAAGTCACCTAAGCCCAAAACTGTCTCCGAAGCCGACGCCGAGCTTCGTGAGCGGCTGGAACATATGTCTGGAGAAGGTGGGGCCTCTGGAATTGAATACGAAGACGGTAAACCGAATGCAATGAAGCGCGGCGTGCGAAACAACATGTTTCGAATAATCTGAAGCAATCTTCGACATCAACATATCTCAAGACAACAAACCTTGACCATCTCAAATGTTACAATATATATCAAGTGAAGTCTCATGTTCTGGAATCTAGACTTGGCCCCCTGTGGGAAAGAAATGTTCTCACCGTTTCCTTCCGGCCTCGGGGGTTAAAGACGTCTACCAGGACCAGACTTGAATTTGCTTCTGAAAACATAGATGAGGATTTCCAGCCTTGGCTGCGGTTGGCTTTGCCTAATTAGTCCGAATATGTGCATGTGGATCTTCTTTGATACAGATACAAGGTCATGCATAATCAAATGCATTCCGCTCTTCAGGTGTTCGTGCATTCTCCGATGACGATTCCTTAGGTGGAGCCACGCAATCAGTCACAATGTTCTCGCTGTGAACTTCTCGACTTTCAATAGTTGGAATATTCCTGCACATGTGCCATTGGAAAGCTTTGATTTCGTTAGGAGATGACTTCATTGCAATGTGCAGGGTCTTGGGCCAGAGCAAGTGCGGTGAATTGCATGCACGTCCTGCCAGTGCTCGGGGTAGTGCCCCATAGGCTGGGCTTCAACACCGCTCTGATCGGCGGTGAAGTCTTCCTTGTAGAATTGGATTTTGACAAGAAAAATGAGAGACCATAAACATAGCGAGCCAATATAATGGAGCCGAAAATGGACTAGTCCAAGTACAATTAAAGAATAAATCAATGGAATCAGGACCGTCCAAAATAGGATCACAATGGCAGAAATCAGATATCATTTCTATGCAGTGAGCCCCAACTTGAATTCAAAGAAACAGACATTATCCTACCAACACCTAATTTCGAACCATTTTCGCATTGCCGAATTCCACCCAAAGGAAAAAAAAACAAAAACAGACCAATGCTTGCTAACATTTCAGAGAAAAGCTCATTTCCGCACAACCATGCCAGCCAAAACACCAGCGCCAATGACACCACCGTCGGATGCTTCCCGTAAAAATACCGACTTCCCACCTCGTTGCGGGCCAGTTCGCATGATAAGACGGTCAATGTATTGCTGGCACATCTCCTTGAATTGCGGGTAATGTTGGATAATGCCACCAGTGTAAGCCACGACGAGCTCTTCAGGACCGGACTGCCAATCTATCGGCGTAGGATCGAGGACAGGCACGACATGTTCCTGGGCTGCGTGGCTCGCAGCAACAGCGGCAGAGTTGAGGCTTGCAGCCGCAGCGTCCGGTGCACTAAGGGACTCAGTGATGGTGTCGCCGTGGATCTGAGGTGAAGCGGGATTCTCGGGTGAGCTGCTGTTGCTATCTTCTTTCAGCTCGATCTCGCGAGCACAGGCTAGTAGTCCGACCACTGCAGCGGCGATCAGCCCGGCTGATCGTCTCTGTACGGTGCGAGCGATCTTTCGGAATGCGCCTGCGGCTCGGGCATCCCAGCGCCAGTCGCTGCACTCTGGTGGGGGGAGGGATTTGTTCAAGGCTTTGGCGAGATCGTTGTCAGATCGGGCTTTAGCAACAACGTCGGAGATATATGTGGTTGTCAGGGCGTATTCTTGGATGAGGTTTGCAGGTAGGGAGCGTTTCGATAATTTGGCTACTGTTGTGAGATAGTCGAAAATGATCAAGCGAATTAGTTCACCAATATAGCGGCCTCCAGTCATGTATTCAAAGGGCTGAAAGCCTGGCCGCGAACAGGCCTGGTCTAGCTCAATGTCCCATTTCGTGGTCACATTGAGCTCCTTGAGTGGTGGCGCAGCACCTGAAATAGTCCACTCGGTGTTGACAACAGTCTCCACAGCGCTAGGCTCCATTATGTTCACGCTCTTGGCTTTCGATTCGTGCAATGCACTAAGCTTCATTGGGATGGTTGCGTTACAGCCAGTACCCACAATGATACCCATGGCGACTCTGCTGTTTGGTAGAGATTTGACCTTGTATGCAAGGGAAGCTAGTGTGGCCACCGTGTCATTGGTGATAGCTTGGATTTTCAGTTTTGGTAATGCAAAAAGCTTTCGACGTTTGGTTGAAGGTTCATCTTCATCATCGGGTCGCCTTGTGTGTTTTTCATATCCATCTAGAAGTATATTGCCAAGATTGAGGTTTGACGAGATAGCGAAGCCTTTCCCCATGGGCATTAATGTGGCTTCTGCTAATGATTCTTGCCTGGGCTTAGTTAGTACAAAATCCACTACAACGCGAAGGGAACCACACAGCCCGACACCCATAATACAAGCACAGGCGGAAAAACTCACATGATGGGGAAACTGAATGTGATTCCCATGTCCAATTCGGCGGGGATGTCCTTTTTAGTAGCATCTGATGATAGACTCTCCGCTACCACCTCCGCAATGCAATCCCCGATCCAAGAAAAGAGATCCTCAGCCTTATCCATCTTCAAATGTTCTTGAATAGGCCAAGCTCGTTCCAGCGTTCGTTTCACCCGCTGGCGCTGAGCTTTCCGGATAGTGTCGCGTGACCTCTCCGTGGCATCTGTAGGCCGAACATCGGAATCGACGGCTTCTCCGAGTAATTCGATAAAAGCGACTCGAAGGTTGCTACCTCCTACATCGATCGCCAGATAGCGACCGGTTTCCCGGCCAGTAGGAAGTTGAGTCACGGGTGTTGGCAAAAATTGCTGGTCCGATGTCAGGGCAAGGTTGCGGTATGTGGTGGAAAAGCGCCGGGCCAGTTTATACAGCACAGCCTCATCCAGGAACAGCGGTGACAAAAATTCTTCCAATTGTTGATGGTGCGCCAGACATTCTTGTTCAACGGCGTTTAGTTCCGAACTAGCCTCCTCATCATCTTCAATCAGATCGTCGTGCATGATTTCGTGCTCCTCATCCTCATCCTTCTTGGACGATTTTGAGTTAACCGAGGCCATGATGAAGGATAGTAGATATACCCCAACTTTTTTTTTAGAAAAAAACCCCTTATGTCAGGTTGAAAATTCCAGACAAAATGAGCCGAGACAGCTATGTCAATAGTGACGTGTAGGGTCTGGAATGTTTAGGAATAGAGACAGGGCAGCATATCCTTAAAATCCTTAAAATCCTTGAATTGTGGAGACAAGCTACCGGCGCTAATCCAATGCCCCAAGAGCTAGTCTTGTTGTGTTAGCGAGGTTGCAACAAAGGGAAGATAACATTTCGGTGACGCGGTCTGCAGGTCGTCCGGGCTGCGGGGGAAAAAGAGAAAACACGACGATCATGCCAGAATTGGAAACCCCATATATGGTTTATTCCGTACATACCCTGGAATTTGGTATGCACAGATTGCGCAGATAATGAAAACAATATTTCTGGGGGATTCGGGGAGATGGGATGACACAGACTATATACGGGGGGGAATCTTTTGGGCCAAGAAAATACCCCTAGATGGCCCTGAGGGATTGGGTGAAGAATGGAAGTGTAAAGCTCCCTGCTTAAGACGGGACAGAGGGAAAACAAAAGAGGAAACAGAAAGAGACAAAATAATATATGGGATTTGTTCAACGGTACCTTTATGTTTTGGTCAGACTAAGTATTGGAGTCATCGGAAGAATAGTCGGAGAATAGTCGGAAGAAGTGGGGGGGAAATGATCCCTATCAGATGCTATGTATATATGATCAGATAGAAGAAAGATTAGACAGTTTATTAGAGGTTATAAGGAAGAATATATAAGAGATGGGATGCGACCATCGGAAGACACTAGGCAATGCGACGCTGTTCGGGACAAGTTGAGGATCGCCTTGACTTTCTATTGGATTGGGAAAACTCTACTTGGCTTTAATATCCCCTCTTTGGCGTCTTTATAAAATCAACGTTGCGAATTCTATGTAACCCTACATTAAGCCATTATATCCGGCTAAACCCCCTTCCCTAGCTTTAAGTAGAGATTATCCCGGAGAGCCAAGCCAACTTCTCTATCTTGGCAGTCTCAGGATTAGACAAAACACACGAGCCTGCGTATTAAAGCAGAAGTTCCAATCTGTTACCGACTAATATGCCTCTATGAGGGATATTGGTGGGGTTGAAGGATTCCGGCTTGGAAAAACGCGCCAAAGTATCGCCAATGTTGCTATTCGTTCAATACGAGGGACGCCTAAGTGGGATATCCTACTTGTGGCACTCGCGTGATCGGTCCGGACATGCCCATATTCAGACGCAGGCACATCTCACGACCTTTTGATCTGACGGGAATTAAGCCGTTCGCACGGTCTCGATCGTTCGCTGGCATCCGCCACATCAGGCTGTCAGATCTTACTAGAGGCGGTTCAAACTACGGGGTACCTTACCTTGGGGTTGCCTGCCCATAATTGGTCATCTACCTGTCGGCAAATAGTCCGATTGTTCTCGTGTTTGGCATAATTCTATCGATAGAATTGTTTACTTCGTAATGAAGGTTTCATGTACGAGCCTCAAAGCACGCGATCTCAAGCCATTATGTACAGTCTGTCCGTAGACCATACCCGACAAAGCCTAGTAATTCTAGACCTGGGGCTATTCGAAACCCAAGCTATAGAGTAGTCGATGCCCCATCTAAGTTGTCTCCGAAGTCGGAGCCCAGCCTAATCTGATGAATGTGTACGGAGTACACGGATATGGGTAGACCGTACTCCGTATAGCCTCGGTGATTAACGGAGCAAACTACAACATACACTTAAAAGTGGACAGGATCCTACCAATAGTAATAAATATGTAATAATCACAGGGCTGCATCCTTATTAGTTAACGATAATCGGTCGGGCTCCTCCGTAGCTTAGGGTAGTTGGGGAATACCTTATGTAATGGCCTTGGCAGCCCAAGGTTCACCTGGGACTCTCCACATGATCTTATCAAAACAACGTCACTCCTGATTTTACCCCATCATGGAGAAACTACCGATCCACTCTAAGGAGGGATATGGTGACCCTCTTGAATTAGCAAACAACCCTGATCGTCGTGTGCGTTCTAGCACAACAACCTATTTGTATCGGATTGGTGTCGTCGCGTTGCTCTTCGTCGGCTACCTTGTGCTTCTACGGCCGTCTCACCCATGTACCGGCATAGCTCCACAAACGGAGAGCTATCAAGCTGAGGTTCAACAAGAGTATGACGACTACTTAAAGCTGGGACATTCTGCTCCTGATGCACATCAAACACTTGAAGAAAATAAGATCCCGCTGGAGGCTCACATCATGAGCAAATGCCCGGATGCTCAGGCCTGCTTGCAAAAACTGGTTCTACCGGCTATGGAAAAAATAAGTGACAAAGTGGACTTCAAGCTATCATTTATTGCTAGGTGAGCATCAAAGTAAATGTGCAGAATAACCGATGTTATTGCACCAGAGTCCATCCGAAACATTTGACTGATACTATAATAATAGTGTGTCTAAAGATTCCGAAGAGATAGCGTGCAAGCATGGCCCAGGTGAATGCATCGGTGACATGCTCATGCTCTGTGCGGCCAACCTACCTTTCCCTCCTACCGCAGACGAAGCATCTCTTCCATCTCAGTATCCCCGGACCCCTATCATCCGGTCACTAGGATTCGCAAATTGTCTGATCAATGACTTTGCCCGGATCCCAGACCGCGAGTTTGTTCACCAATGTGCAATGGAGCATGGGATTGACTTTGACGCCTTGAACAAGTGTGCGAGCCAGGAGAATGATGATCCGAACGATGGCAACGACGGCGGACCACCACTTAGTGGAATTGCGCTGCTGCGTGAAAGCGCTCTTCAGGGCGAACAACTCGGCGTTAAGATCAGTTGCACAGTGCGTCTAGATGATGCTGTTTGGTGCATCCGCGATAATGATGAATGGAAAAACTGTGTCCATAATGGAGCAGGTAGCCAGCCCTCAGCCCTGATCGATCAAGTCGAAAAGCTGTGGAAGGAGAGAAACTGAGTTCTACATGGATGCTTTATCGTTCATACCCCGCATTCATACCCATACGATAGGACATGACACTCGATAAATGCCATTGATGATCCCCTACTATCATATTGCACCACCGTAGGCATTCCCTACATTTCGAGTAGGCGCTTAAGCCATGCCTTCCCATATGAACTGCCCTATTTGGTGACCCTAACTCCATGTGTGTCATGAGTTGAAGATGGTGTTTTCCTCGCTTAATTTAAACAAACAATGCCCATTAGCCGAGTCACGCACAGTTTTCCTCGCCATTGTTGCATTTAATCAGGTCAGAGACCTTTTCCCTTCACCTTCCTCTTTCTCTCCCCACCACAAGCCACCATCAGCACAGTGCGGCAATCGTCCTCGAACCGCGTGGAGCTTCGCAATGTCACCAGTTTCTCATCCAAAACAGCGTGGTAAGTTGTTTCAGCCTTGATCGACTCTATTACCATCATCTCGTCATGCTAACAATTTGGGATGATAGAGGCCAAATCTGTCATGTCGCGCGGGGTGTGTGATAAGGAAGAGACCTTGTACCTTAAGTGGAGTCTGGTGCTGAGCCCAAGCGAGCTTCTAAAAGAGCTTGTTGGCGACAGCGAGCATGCTCGAGCCCTCTTTCATGGAATGAGGCGCCAGGTCCGGTCCATCCGCCGCCGCTCGCAGTCCTATGATGATGGACAGGTCACAATCTACGACCGTGTTCTCCTTCGTCTCTATGACGAGGGACACACTATGAAACACTACGGCCTGCTTGGATTTTACCTGACCGAGCATCTGGGGACTAAGAACTGCAAATCGGAGGAGGAGAAAAACACTCTAGTTGCTGCCCACTTAGCTGCCCAGCGCATCCTGGACAATGGTTTGTCGCTGCGTGTTGAGCAATTTACTTTCATGCATTCTAACATAACCTACCAGGCCCTATTTCCGAAATCCCTGTCATTGCAGCCGATAACGTGGAAGGAATCACCAAGGACGCCAGGACCAGCAAGTCGCCACAGAGCTCTGGCACATCCAACTCACACCATATCGACAAGCTCATCCAGGTGTACCAGAAGGCCAAGGCTGACTACTACATCCTTGAAGTCACCGAGAGCCACCGCGAGCGAACCAACAGCGTTCGATTCCTCCGTGACACGGCCGAAAACCTCCTGCGATACCTGAAGTCAGTCAACCAAGGCCACGATCTGATCCCCGAGATCGAGGGTATCATTCGGGTCAGCCAAGCTCATGCAAACGAACTTGCCGGCGGCCGCAAGCGCAAGTTTGAGCACGTAGACAACGACTCCAGGGGCAGCCCAAGCCTCAGCCCCTACCGACCCTACGGATTCCACAGAGACCAGCGCAGAGGACACAAACGTCGTGACCGATATGTCCCTGACAGTGTCACATGGGAATACAGCCATGTTGACCGGCGAGCTGGACGAGATAGCCGTGCCCTTGACTCCTACCGTCCTTCTTAAGCTCACTGTTCTGAGCTGACCGAACGATACGTTCTGAATTATGGGGTAACCATTTTCTTCGCTACCGCTTAGGGAAAGTACAAACCTGCATGTACTAGAAAAATCAGTCCCAAATTGAATCAACAACCCAATTTCACAAGCAAGCGTCCTCCTCCTTGTAGAATAGTTGACCTCGGGACAGTCGAAGTATGAAATCCTAAGCTATGCGCTAAGCCATTCTCATCTTAGCGTTGTTTACAAGCCCACGTGCACAGATGACATAATCCCTCCCAGAAGGGGCCTGGGGATCCCGATGATCAACACTGGTCACCCGGTCTCGCGAATTGAGGGGAAACCTGTTGTATTCCTTCATTTCGGTTCAGGGAAGGGGTAATCTCTGACCCAATGGAGACTACCTCACTGATCAGGCTCTTAGAACGACCCCAAAAAGTCTCTCCCCTGAGAAATGGCAGACCTTCATCCCTCCGCCGCGGGGAATAATGCATCTTCCACTAGCTCCAGCACATCCTCAAACCCACGATTCACTCCAGTTTCTTATACCTCAGACGAAGAAAACCCAGTGCCAGGGACTGCAGAATCACCCGTAGGCTCATTGCGACTGCAGACCAACTTCGATGACCACCAAGACGTTGGCGACCCTCTATCCGATTTCGAGAACGACGGCAACTATAACACAAGTGAGGAACGAGAGGGCAAGATTCCACGCGGCGGCTTGGGTCCGAGATATACACCGGAGGAGGAGAGCGAGGTAGTGAGGAGATTTGACCGAAGGCTCGTCCCGTTTCTGGCACTTCTCTACTTGCTCTCCTTCTTGGACCGCTCCAGTATGTTTGGTTATTCCGCACAGCGCAGTGCTCTCCCTATTGTTACAAGCATGTACTGATCGGGTATGCAGACATTGGAAATGCAAAGATAGCAGGACTCCAAGACGATCTACAACTTTCATCTTCGCAATATGAATGGCTACTTACTGCTTTTTACATTACCTACATTCTCTTCGAATGGATGACGCTGATGTACCGTGTTGTTCCCCCGCATATTTATATATCCCTATGTGTATGTGGATGGGGACTAGTCGCATCATTTCAGTGTCTAGCTACTTCCTTTGGGGGCCTGGTCGTTCTCCGGGCATTGCTTGGAATCACCGAGGCGGCTTTTGGCCCCGGTGTTCCGTTTTACCTGTCTTTGTTCTATCGCAGACATGAGCTGGCTTTCCGCAATGGATTGTTTATCTCAGCGGCACCGCTCGCAACATCTTTTGCGAGTAGTTTGGCCTACTTGATTGTCAGGTTCAGCAGTGACGGCCCGATCTCACCGTGGCGAACTCTCTTCCTCGTGGAGGGGTTCCCGAGTGTAATTGTTGCGGTATTTGCTTGGTTTCTGATTCCGGACTCTCCTGGTCGGGCTCGATTCCTGAGTCGCCGACAAAGGGTGGTAGCTCAGCAGCGTCTCGAAGAGAGCAAAACCGACTATAAGCAATCGTATGGGAGTCAATTTAACTGGCGAGAAATCCTGAAAACTGCAGCGGACCCCAAGGCTTATATTGCTGCCGTGAGTCTTTATCTATATTTGAGATTGTACAAAGGGTTTTAACACATTTACTACAGTTTATGTTTTTCAGTTGCAACGTTGCTTTCAGCTCAATGCCTGTCTTTTTGCCTACTATCATCAAAGAGTATGCCCGTCGCCAGCATCTATTCACAATCTCAACAGCCAGCTTACATCTCTTATAGTATGGGATACTCCTCCTTACAAGCCCAAGCCCTCTCAGCACCTCCCTATCTCGTTGCCTTTGTTGTAGTCCTCCTCACTGCATACGCCTCAGATCGCAGCCGCTCCCGAAGCCCATACCTAATAGCGCACGCTCTCATCTCCTCACTCGCTTACTTAGCGATCGCAGCAACTGGTTATTTCCACTCCGGGCTGTCACCATGGCTTCACACATTCATCCGCTACATCTGCGTCTACCCCGCCACGGCGGGGTTCTTTTCCGCAATCACCATCATCATTACATGGGCAATGGATAACCGTGTCGAAAAGGAAGGCAAGGGCGCAAGCATTGCCATTCTCAATATCATCAGACAATGTGGACCCCTGCTCGGGACGAGACTGTATCCCGAGACTGACGGGCCGTGGTATATTCGGGGCATGGCTACGTGTTCGTTTTTCATGTTTGTTGTTGCTATATTGGCGGTGGTACTGCGGGTTCTTCTACAGAGGATGAATCGGGCGGTTGCGGAAACGACCTATAATATTGCACAGGCTGGCCCTGTTGATCAGGGTGAGGAGCGGGATGTGCTCATGGGAGGTGGGAGGAGGGATGATTTGGAGAATTCCACTGGGGATAGAAGGCTTGTATATATCATATAGTCGATACAATAATGACCACTTGAGGTTTCTCTGCTTTGGTGAGGTGATCTCTGTAGAATGTTCTTATTAGACTGCCGGTCTAGAATCCCTTTGGGGATGAAAAGAATTGGAAGAGCACGATGTGAATCACAAAGAGATAAAAGTAAGGAATATGATTAAGGCGACGAGTGCATAGTCGCTATATGTGGTGCGTATGTAAAGTCTATATGATATGTACATGTGTACACTCAAGGGTGTGTATTTCAGGTTTCTTGGAATCAAAGAAGCGCAGCGAAGGGCGAATCGGCAACCTGCGACTCCTTCCAGCCAATACACTTCCAGCAGCTCAACAAACCTCTGGGGTCGTATTTCCTCTTAATTCTCAACAATTTCGCGTAGTTATCACCCCACCACGCCTCGATCCAATCAATTGTGAACGGGTTGGCCTCGTTGCTGTACGCACCACTGCCAGGAGTAATACCCTCAATAATGGCCGTCATGTTTTGAATTGATTGGATCTTCTGTTTCCGGGTGGGAAGGGTAGCGTTCCAGTCCCAGGTAGCACCGGATCCCAGCTCCCAAATAGCCTCCCGCCAGGCGGGAGAAGCGCTGGTCGATCCTTCGGTGTAGTTGTACAACACTGGTCCGACGACGGGGATATAAGGTGTCTGGCCCAGTGATTGGATGACTGCGAAGTAATCCATGAGGTTCTGACGGCCCTCAACGGTGTTGAAGATGGAGCGGGGGATCAGTCGGCTTCCGGGGAAGCGAGTGACGCCGACAGCGACGGAGCTGGTCTTGACGTATTTCTCGTAAAAGGGGTACCAAGAAGTGAACTCCTCGATGGTGGCGGAGCCGCCATTTGCTTTGGCATAGGCGATCACGCTTGCCAGAGAGACCTCGGCCTCCTCGACGGAGAGGAAAGGAGAGATGTTGACGAGGGTGTTACCGGTGATGTGGCCGCCCCATCCCTCCTGTCCCCATTTGAGGGTGTTGTTGACAACGATCTCCATGAATGGAAGCATGTTAGTGGAGTTGCTGGTGAACTTGATGTTGGCAGCGACAAAGCGGATAGCAGGTTCGACATGGTGAGTGCTTTCGAGGACCACGCCGAAGGTTCCACCGCCGCCACCGCGAAGGGCCCAGAAGAGGTCGCGGTTCTGGAATTCGTTGGCGGTGCGGTAGACACCGTCTGGAGTGACGATCTTGAACTCGAGGACACGGTCAACGCCGAGACCGTACACGGGGCTCAAGATGGAATGGCCGCCGTTTTGGATCCAGCCGCCCGAGACACCGACGGTGGGTGAGTAGCCGCCGAGTATGGTTACGTTTTTTGTCTGTGCAAATTCGTAAACCTCGTCGAAATTGACTCCAGCGCCGACGGTGATGGCTTGATATCTGCGAGAGGTGTTCTTAGAGCCGCGTGGAGCGAAGTCCGCACTGTACTGCATAGATTTCAGGTTTCGCGTCCAAAGGGATAGCGTGTCACGCCCACTGCTGCGAGTGAGGTAATCATGGCCACTATTTTTGATGACGAGCTTCTTGCCGGAGCAGTTGGAGAACTTGAAGGCTTCAATCACATCCTTGGCACTCTGCACCTCAAGATAGTGAGAGGGTAGATTACCCTGACGACAGGTGGTATTCACAAATGCTAGGGGGTCCGTCGGATCGCTGCTGTCGAGGAGGCACTGATCACTAGGGTCGGATGCCCACATCTCATCCTGGTTGTTCATGTAGCCATTAGGAGAATTTGTTCGCATCAATGGATCCGAGTAGTTGGCCTGGATAGTAGCACAGGCGGCATTGTCGCGAGCCACTGGTTTCCCATTGTAGTTGGAGAAGCAGGGCAAGGAGAAAGGAGTGAGAAGCTGGAGGCGCCCTGCAACAGTTGCATTGAAGTCATTCAAAGTGCAGTGCTTTGCAACAGTCGAGCTTACTAAGGCCAATAGGACCAGGCCGGAGGACTTGGCCAACATCATTGACGATTGCAGAAGAAAGGATGAAAATCACGACACAGAAAAAGTATAACTCAGACAGAAGAACCAGCTGAGGAGAAGAGGTGTCTTACTTGTAACTAAGAATTTAACCTATTTCGGCAAAAGATCACCGCAATATCTGCACGATCTATATAATTGGCTGGCCCTTATATTAATCAATCTTAAGATACTATCCTGCAGACTCCAAAGCTTGAAGACCGGCAAGGAATATTGTATTTCCACCGGAAATCCCACTAATTATTCCACTTATTATTCCCTTCAGAAAGTGAATCGTCCAATGGTGACATCTAGCTCTCCACACAAGTCGAACTAGTTCCAATCAGATGCCGGTGAAACCTCGTATAAATCGGCCCTCTACAACATAGGGAATGAAGCGTATCATCTATATTAAATTGCCTGATTATTCGAAACCCAAGAGATTATTTTCGTATCTAGATATGTATACATACTGACTACATGTAGCAGAGAGAGTCAATTAATTCCTTGTTGGTTACCGCTGTAAAATGAAAACACGTAATTTATTTAAGGTGGGGTCCACCATCCCTGATCGGGACTAGCCTACAGTCAACTGCCGGTCGGTGGGTCCTGCATGTATGAAAATGGAAATGTCCGGAAAATGTCGATCCTCCCCCCTGTTCGTCTAAGCTCCCCAATCACTCGGTTCTCGGTTCTCGGTTCTCACGAAGTTTTGATTTTTTCTATCTTCCCACCATGTCAATATGGAGCACCAGGTGAATGTCTATTGGAAAAACGTCCTCACGATTGTGCCAATTGTTGGGGCGGGCGTGGCTACTATTACCTACCTGTTACGTCTATACTGCAGGCGGGTGAAAAGGGTGGGGCTGTTGCTGGGGGATTATCTAATGGGCGCTGGTCTGATCCTCTCCTACTGTGTCACAGCTTTTGTAGTAGATAGTGAGTATTCCTCCCCATGAATCTATCATACTAACTATACTAACTATTAAAGCCGCCTTCAATGGCGTCGGGCTACCCATCACATCGCTTCCCAAATATGAACGGATGCGTATTCAATTCGTATGTTATAGCTTATACCGTGGTAATGGAAAGATCTAACAGCATTCCGCAGGGATCATGGATGATACAGAAGTTCTGGGCCCCGTCAATGGCTTTTGTCAAGATCTCGATTGTCATCTTTATTAAACGACTATTCGGCTCGATACGTGCATACGTCATTATCACCAATTGTCTCGTTGCATTTATCGCCACATGGGCTCTCGCTGCCCTGTTGACCAATACCTTCCAATGCACACCGGTGCAATACTACTACGATAAGGATTTGGACGGACATTGCATGCCCGGGCAGGTTCAATTCTTCCAGGCCATGGGATCGATCGCATTGGTTGAAGATGTTATCATTCTCTGTCTGCCAATTCCCGTATTTTGGAGGTTACAGATCAACCGTCGGCAGAAAATAGCATTAATCCTGGTGTTTTCTCTGGGTGGACTGTGCGTGACTCCCTCCTTCCAAATGATAATTCCTTTCCTTCTAATGATATATTGCAGTGTCTGTATCTTCAGTCTGATGCGCCTGATTGAATTCCGCAAATTCCAGCTCACCGACCTTGCGGGTGCGTTCCTATCCCCAGCTCGTACGATGATTCCAACTAACATCATCCAGCCTCAAGCGCCAAAGAATCCATCTGGACTTGCCTGGAACTCGACGTCGCGATCATTTGTGGCTGTCTGCCGTTTCTTAACCCACTTGTGCAAGGCGTCCGCAACAAAGTCAGAAGTGACGCCTCAAAATATCAATCCCAACCTTCTGCCGGATCCAACCTGCATTTACACTCGATGCGGGGAAACAAAGGCGATTTTCGAGAGCTTGATAGTGATTGTGGAGCATCAGCGAACTCAATCAGTCGTAATGCTACGACAAGTCGGCAGAGCTCGGATATGGAGAATAATAGGCAGGATGTGGATGGACGGTCCAACAATATCAGGCCTTCATGATTTTTATTCTTAATAATACGTATTTCAATTCCCCAATACATAGTTTCAATACTTCTTCTAGATATCTCTTACTTCAGAACTCTCTCACTTTAGATATTTCTCAATTTAGTATCTCGTTGTAGTATCCCATCCTTCACAACTCATTCTTAAGCCCACATGGCCTTGAACTTGTTATCAAACTCGGCGTGCAGTTCTTTGAAGGCCTTGGCAACCAAGAACATGGATCGGTAAGAATTATCCACTGGCTCTTGCGTATTTTTAGAGCTGAGCCCGTTGCTCGCATCTTTGGAAGCATTGATGGCTTCATCCTCAATTTCATCATCTTCATCATCCATCTCATCCTCCCAGCTATCAATCACAACCTTCTTCGCCCGGGGCCGAGAGGTGGGGACGGGGGCAGCAGACGCCTGCTTGTTGTCTAGTTTGACGTCCATCTTTCCAGCATTTTCAGCCTCAATCTGATCAACGGCCTTATCATCCACGAGATTTTCGTAATCGTCGCCTCCGCCAGCAACATCGAGCATGTCTGCACCGATATTGCTTCCAGGCTTGAGGAAGCCCTCAATGCTAGTCTTAATGGTAGCCAGAGTCAATGAGAAGTCGTTCAGCACAAACCAGATGTCTCCGCGACGGATGCGGTTTGCAGTCTCCAACTGAGAAACATTTCCGTGCTTGAAGAAGTCATACAGGTATGCATTGAGAGGGATGGCGTTCTCGTTGGGATCAACAGCCACATATGGAATGACGGAATCCTCAATCCAAACGCCACTGCGAACCATCTGACTGAGTTCGAAGACAGTACTGCATTGGTCTCCGTTTCCTGAAAGGGCGAAGAATGGTGATATGATTGATGGGGAGATGTGGTCAAACTGCGAGAACCCGAGTTGCTCGCAGGAACTTTCTCCACCGCACTTGATCCCACTGAATGGTAGCGAACAGTCTGGTTCCTTGATATGCTGCTCGACAAAAGTGGAGAAATAGCCAGTGTAGACATCTAGGACCTGTCTGTTGTGAGCACGTAGGGCGGAGGCTGCTTTTCTCGGTAAAGGTGGAAGAGCCACGATCGAGGAAGGCTTCTTTTCCGCGTTTTGGAACCGTTCCAAGGTGGACTCTCGCAGGGGAATACGCCCGAAAAGGTGGGCCATGACCAGCATCAGAGTTTCAAGAGTCTTTTTTGGCTTTGTCTCTATGTCCTGACAGAGATCTTGGAGGTATCCCGAATTCAGTAGGGCATGGAAAGCAAAACTAGAATTCTCTGTGTAGTACAGATGAGAGATACAGCCCGCAAAATTCACAGCCATACCTGTACTGCTAAGAAGATTGTTTCGTCGGAGGTATTCGATAGAGAATCGGAGATGGTGGAGCACCGTCTGCTTCATCTCAGGGCCACCGAGGTGAATGCGAGAACTTGAGAGGATCGAATTGATTGATTTCACGGCAGACGGAGCTTGCTTTGATCCATATAGCAAGATGAACAACCGTAGAACCAAGCTTGTCGTAATGGGGAAATGTCCACTGAGACTTGGGAGTCTCGAACTCATCAGTCGTTGCACCTTGGATGGTGGGACCTGCTGGAAAACAACATTTCCCAGGACATCGAATCCACGGCGACCTGCTCTTCCGGCGGCTTGGCGGAAATTCAGGGCTGTCAAGAAAATGGAATCGCCTGAAAAAACGACTGTCTTACAAGGCATGTTGATACCCAAAGCCAAAGTTCCAGTTGCAATAACGACACGTAAAAAGCCTTTCCTAAAGAGGATCTCACAAACTTGACGGTACTTGCGATTCATACCAGCATGGTGGACACCAATTCCTCGCTCTAGGGCATCTATCAACCATTGAGGCACCGAGCGCCACTGCAACTGCTTGGAATAAACAAGGAACTCGGAAGCGGGTACTTTCTTGAAGTCAGCCAAATGGAATCCATCCACAGGCCTCTTCGGATCAAAGAGATCAAGCCAGCCGAAATCGGTAGATGCTGATTCTTTGGCTTGCTCTGCCTTGGAAATTGGCTCTTCGTCAGCGTTTCCACTTGTTTTCTTCTTGGTAGCCCTTTCAAGCTTCTTCTTTGCTGACAGCTTGGATGTCTTCCATACTTCCCATTTGGCAATCTTGGATTTCCATACCGGACTCTCTTCTTTCCATTTTGTCTCGGCATTTTGTAGCTGTGTCAACAGCGATTGGCATATATCTTCACATCTACCGCGGTCATAATTGAAGAATAGCGCGGGGAGGGCATTCTGAGCGTGTAACGAGGCGATCAAAGGGAGGGTTGTGTCGACCAGGTTCCCGTGTAGGGTGCCAGATAGGCCATTCATCCGAGACACCTGTTTCGATAAGTCCTTTTCTTTCTCGACTACAAACCCTGTTGGGTGTTCGAGATGGAGTAAAAGTGTCTCAAATGGAGATTCCCGGTCTTTCATCCACTCCCCTAACAACTTTTTCAGTTGTCCCTGCCACTCTATGACATGTACTTTTTGGATGACAGTATTCGAGAAAAAGATGGATGGATCCAGAGATGGATCAACAGGGAACTGCTTTGTTTGAAGGTCCTTCATTGCTTTCCAGAGGGTGAAGCAGTCACGTGGCTCAAAGTCAAGATCATCTGGTATCGATCTGGTGCGGTCCAAAAGGCTAGTGACAGGATGAACGAACGTCATATCATCTGCTCCATCGAGGCCCAAACGGGCCAAGCTAGGAGTGCTGGAAAACCCTTTGAACGAGAAGTCACCATGGGGCTGGTACACGTACTTCCGCAAGTCCGAATAACGGTGGTGATGCTGGATCATTTTGAGGTCAAATCCATTGCTTCTCTGGGCAAAATCAAGCCAGTTGTAGAATTCCTGGGGATTTCCGACGGTAGCCGAGAGTGCTATAATTGGGCATGGGGACATCAGAAGCAGTTGTTCCCAAACGACACCATCATCGGCCTGGCCAATGCAATGAATCTCATCAAAAATGATACGCCTCAAGCGGGGAGTCCATGCATTGGCGTTCGAGGGATTAAGCAGCATGATCTGAAGAATCTGGGGCACCGTGATGAGAATTTGGCATCCCTGAGGATTATTGATGCGGTAGTCTCTTGTGTGGATGGCCCAAACCGATTTCCCGCTGGTTTTGGCTGGGAAGGTTTTGGAAAATCGGGCTTGCACCTCAGCTGCGATCTGATTGACAAGAGCTTTTGTGGGGGCAACATAAACAAGAATTCCATCGTTATCTTCTTTCAAAATCTGTCTCATCGCATAGAAGCTGACGAATATTAGCATAACTCTCAATCAGGAAAAATTGCGACTTACGAAATAAATGTTTTTCCTGCACTCGTTGGGGCCACGATGAATGCGCTCTTCTTTGCATCGATCTGGTCCAGAACTTCACGCTGCCAGCGGTCGGGCGCAAAATCAGGCGTCCGGGAGTCGGGCAATGAGTCTATGCTGCGCTCCATGAAAGGCCCACCATGTAGAAGCTGGAATTCAACTGGGCTCATCTCAATACTCATGCTGGGTGCTGCTTTAGGAATTTTGAACGCCGGGAAAGATAGTTTCTGTTCACTATCGGCATGAAGCTGGGCAGCTGGCAAACCAAGTACTTCACAGACAGTCGAGACATATGCGACAATATCGGATGAGATACCCTGCTTGATTTTCACAAGAGAAGTGACGATCTCCCAAATGCGTGTCACGATCAACATATGCTTTTTATTCTGCGGATTTATGCGTTCGAAAAAGAGAAGGCGTAGCAATGTATCAATCATGCAAGTCAGAATTTCGGGCTCCAGAACCTGTCGACTGTCTTTAGGTAGACTAGTTAAGTATCCGTTGAGCTTCGTAAAACGAGTCACAAGATCATCGATGAGAGAAAATTCGTCATTGTACACGTTTTTCCACTTCTGTCTCTGTTTTTGAGTGACTTCCATTGCTTTTTGATGAACGAAAGCTGCGGCCATCTCTTTGGTGGATGGTTTACCAGATTTGGAGTGAGATTTCTTGTCTGATTTCGAGGTCGTCGGGTGGGTTCCAACGTCTCTGCTTGCCGAAGGAGTTTGGTGAGACTTCTGACGTGAACTACTGGAAGATTCGACAACAATCGGCTCTGGTTGTGATCCAGAGAGACTTGCAGCATAATCTCTCATCTCGGCCATAAAACGCTGGTTTCGTTTGTGGTTTCGCTCAACCTCTTGGGGGGTTAGGATGACTTTCTTTTGATCAAGGGGCCTGGAGCTATGCCAGTGGCTATCTTCTTTGAACTCCTTGAAAACTTGCGAATCACTCTTCGCATCGGCAGATTCATCGACTACGAGCTGGACAGGCTCCAGAATTTTATCGAAGACTGCATTGCTAAATGGAAGCACCTTTTCAAAGCCATGATAAGGCTTAGAGATAATTCCGTGAGTGGTATGTTCCAAGGGAGCGGGAGCTCCCCCAATCGCTTCACATTGCAGTGTTGTTCCACAAATGCGGTCCACCAGAGACGCAAGAGTGTTGAACGGGGATTGTGTGGCCGATGAAATTACTGTTTGGATGCCGAGTTTCTCGACCATCCACTGGACTCCGAAGAACAATGTTCCGTCCACGAGGTCAGACAGGTCGCAAGGTAGGCTATGGTCGCTCATTTCTTTCTCCCAAAGCTTCGAGCTGAGCAAAGCATTCGCGGTTTTCACGAATTCATTGAAAAACTTCAAGTTTTTGGGTACAGTTGTTGTTTGGATTGATCGATCCGACAGTTGCGTGTTTTGTAAAAGTACAATGTGCAAAAGCATAGACTGTGCTCCAATCTTATTTTCGAGGCTATCCGTCACGCTACCCAAAAGCATGGAGCTAAGCGTAGCAACCACCAGACATTGGCGCTGCGACAGCTCGGGCTTCTCAAGAAGTGCCTGTTGAAGAAAGTTATCTGTTTGAGCCTGGTTTGACGATTCGTTTTTGATGGAATCGTAGTCCAGCGCATCCTCCGCTTGGTCTTGGCTGTCCTCAATATCCAATTGGGAGAGGGAATTCCACAATTGATCGGGATCGTCTGTTTCAGGGCCAGTCGATAAGGGATTCGTTTTTATGGAGCTTTCAATCACCATTGCCATGACCTGCGTATATTGTGAGTACAGAGCTTGGTCTTCTGCAGCTGAAAAGACCTACCTTGGTGTCACGGAACTCAAGACTATTGATGAGAGCAATGTTGTATCCGTGGACAACGAACCAGTAGATCATCGCGCGGAGCTTGAACCTTGAGATCTCGCCTCGCTTATCGACAAAAGAACCTTTCTGGTCACCATCTTCGAGATCGCTGCTGTCAGAATCACTTTCAGAATCGCTGCTGTCGATATCACTAGCAATATCATCCTTGTTTTGCTCGGAAGAAGCACCATCGTGACACATGAACAAATAGGCCCCCGAACTTATCAGATGAGCTTTAAACTCATCGGACTGGAAGTTATCAAACCTCAGAACCTGGAAGTATCGCGATGGTTGGACGCGAATAGACACAAGATGCTGTATGATCGCCTCTCGGGCAAGGAGGTACCTCGCGTGGAGGTCTCTGTGAACTCCCTTGGGAATGCATAATGAGGCATTCTCGGCGAAAAAGACAATCTCGAAGAAACACTTGCGCTGTTGAAGCTTTTGTAACAACTTCTCGGCAAGGTAAGTCGCATGCAAGACCTGGAAACCAGGGTTGAAATCAAGTTTGTCGTTGGAAAAGCATTCGAGCAGAAGCGAATCTCCTTCGATTATGAAAAGCTCGTCACCAACAAAGTCACCGACGAGGTCAACGACCCGAGAGTCTAGGTTATTGTACCTTTGTTTAATCATTAGTAAAATCGAGCGAAGTCCGAAAGCTGCAAAGCCAGTGCTCACCAATCTAGCACAACATGGCGATCCATTATCTTCTCAATATTTGCGGGGGTCGCCTAGATGGCTGGATATAAATTAGTAGTGTCAAGACCGGAGGATCGGCATTTTGAGCGACGAACAGGATGAACCAGGTAAGCTAAGCTAGAGCAAGGGAAACAATGTGTGGCACAAAGAAGGAGAAGATGGTAAAATAGAAATTTGGGATGGCCTTCAGGGAAAATATGAAATGCAAACGTTCAGAAGGAGGGGCATTAAACAGGATATATTGGGAATGTGTTGGGCATGTGCTCAGTCGACTCAAGATCCAACAAACCGCTTACCTATGATATTCAGTGTGATGGGGCTCTGACTCATTGCCTCTAATACTCTTTTTGGCGGCGTAAAGACAGTATCTAGAATAGTTGGGCTCTTGATTTCTTTGGGTTTACAATTGTGAAGGGATTTTGGGCAGAAAAGCCAATGACCGCCTTCTCCAGTATACGATGTACGGCAGTATACAACATCCAGGATAGATCAAGAGCAGACATCCGATATTTGATATTTGTGAAATGTCGAAAGCCATAGCATGGGCCAAGATATTGTATATTCTTGTAGCATTTTCGGGGGCTTGGCAATGGACTCCGATTTTGTTCCGACTGGGTAACTCAAAAGCCCACGGAATGCTTCAACGGCTAGTTGGAAGCGTAATGCATTTTATTTTCCTACTTGATATGATTTGATAAATATTTCGAGACATCCAAAGGCTCCAAGTTCCACAAAAAATTATGGGCAGTTATAAGTCACAAGTCAAGGGATATGTGTGATATTTCTGTTAATAAAGAAATAAGCAACGCATTCCTTCTCTCCTGCGGCTGGTTTTCATGGAGATCCCCGACAGACACATGACCTCATCTCGCGGCAATGGATTAACTGAATTCGATTTGGCTTTGCGAAGACCACCACGAACAAATAGTGCAAAGAAATGAGAGGGGAAAAACGATACACGCAATGTCCAGACTCCCATCAACCGTCCCAATCACCCAATTCCCTTGGGAATAAACGCCAATTCCTCGCTAGGAAGGTACTCGTAAACGAAGCACACAAAAAAAAAAGACCTGTTAGGAATGGGCCGCTTGGGAACATTATAGCATACCGGCGAAACCCACATTCGTCTCGTGTCCGAAGCCGCTGCGAAGGCTGCCGAAATCTAGTTTCATGAGCAGACGATCTACCCCCGCTGCTTTATGGGGCACGTAATGACTGAACCCGGGGCTCGTGCTGTCATCAACGTGCCGGGAACCAGGCCACATATGACCGAAGTTCGTTGCTAGTTCCACGGGTCCTTTGCCTTCTCCCGAGCGACTATCGTCAATGTCCCGCAGGGTCCCAACGAGATTCTTAATACCCGTCTCGACATCGTTTCGAGTGGTACGTAACTCTTCCCATACATCGCGTTCTTCCTGGGCATAATCCACCAACGCGTCTTCCACGCCTTCATCTGTTTCTAGATCCATGTTGCGTTGGATGGTTTCCAACCGGATCACAAGGGCGACGAAGCGGTCGATATTTGTGAGTAGTCCTCTCATGGTGTTTGTGAAGGGTAGTTCAGTCAAAAAGAGGGACTGGACCAGCGATGACAAGTGCCGCCGGTGTGCAACCGTGAGAGCCTCGGGATCGTGCCGTCCCATGGTCTGTTGGCCAGACTCGGGGAAGTCTCTGGTCGGAATCTGGTTAGGAGACACTGTCTTGGAACTATGCTGCGATTTAGAAGAGGATGCGGTTCCAGGTCGGGACCCAGGGGCTGATGCTGTAGATGAAGAGCTTCCTTCAATCCATTGGCGAAGGTGCTGCCACGACTCATTGACAACATCTCCTTGGAAAAAGCCACCGATCTCGGAAAGCATAAATAGACATGCACTTCCTGTGGCCCAGATATGACGCATTTGGCGAACACGGGCATTATCTCTATCTCTTCTTGCCTTTAGCTTTGCTTGGCCAAAGATACTGTTGCTTCTGGGCGGTCCCCATGGCGTAGGGTAGTTTCGCCGCAACGGAGTTCGTTTCCAAAGATCCCCAAGCCGGATTTGAGCCCGCCGTATTCCCAGGAGATAAGAATGAATCTTAGAATATATGACAATATCAGAGCTCGAGATGAACAGGTCTAGAGGAGCTCGGATATGTGAAGTGAGGGTTGTCGGCGTGGGGAAGAGCAGGTCTTCAAATGAGACCTTTGAGATTTTGGATAATAAGTTGGGAGTTTGGGCAGGCGTCATCGGTCGGCCACTTTTGCGGCCACTAATGGACAGAGAAAGAAGGTCCCGGGCAAGTTCAAGTTCTTCGTCGGCCGGGTCCTCCTCCTTTTCCAGCGAGAAAAGCTCTGCCCATGCTTCAGCTAGAGCAGCTGTGACATCACCTTCTTTGACGGTAAGGACGTCAGGTTTTCCCAAAGGACGAGTCGCTGATGGGCCTCGGCGTCGGCTTTCCTCAATGCGGGAATCTGCATGTGCTACAAGAGCTACCGCAAACTCCCCTCGTCCTAGTAAAAGGAAATTGTGAAGCAAAGTAAGAATTTCTAGAATTTTTGGGAGGGGCAACAATTTCGACAAGGTTGATTGAGAAAGGGAAAGGCGAATGGAGTCAACGGCGGTAGTCAGTTTTGAAGGCGAAATTGGTGATTTCAGGCCTGCAAGTTGCTCGATGTGCTCCCGATATAACGTAACCGGCGCAGTAGAGGTTCCTGCTATTGAGGTTTTCCGTTTCGCCCGGATATGATTGAGAGATTTACCAATGAATAGTATTGAGCCTGCTGTTTGTGCTGTGACAAAATTTGGGAGCAATCGGACGTTTATGCTGAATTGTGCCTCGTCATTCTCCTTTTCGGTATCCTCTTGGATAAAAAAGTCCTCCTTCCCGTAGATGGGAAGATTCCCATAAAGTAACCACATCGAAAGCTGTTTCATCCATGCTGTCTCAGCCGTTGTCGCTAATTGCAGGGCCATGTCTTTGATATCGAGATATCCTGTTTGAGCTTCGGTCCGCAGGTGATCTATGAGCGCTGCCCCCGTGGAGCCATGCAAAGGTTCGGTGTTTTTCCTTTCTGGTTGAATGAACCGGATAATAGTCCAGAGCCATTCCATGCGCCGCGTCCATGGTGCGAACTCTCCCACGATAGTCGACAATGGGACAATACCATACCCTCCGACATATCCGCTGTCCTCGGCAAGGATTGCCCTCTCAACCTCCAGTATCTTCTTCTGGAATTCACCTAGATGCGTTCCAATAACAGCTGTGGAGACTGAGCGGCATATAACTGATGGACTCGCAGAGGATATATCGGAGGCATATTTCCGCAGCTGCGCGTGGAGTCGGCTTAGATGGACAACGGAGGCGAGGAGAGCTTTCTCCGGAGGTGAAAGAAGGGGAAAGTCATCTTGAGCGACAGAATTCTCCTTCCTTTGTGTACGGAAGAGGAGGGATGGCTGGCCGGAGAGGGAGAGTAGGATCTCATGGAGCATTCTGACGAGAGTTCCCTATCGGATCCATATCAATCACGAGCTCATCACAGGCGTATATGCAGATAACTCACCTAGGGAAATTCCTTCTCTCCGTTGGACCGTTCTTACGCTGCCAGTATAATAGACCGCGCCCCACGAATTCAAAGCGACACATATGATAAAGCGTTTGACGACGCCAAGCTTCGCGTTGACGCCGAGGCGCGTCAAACGTGACGTGTGAAATAGTAGGCTTCAGAACCAATCGGAGAAGATAGAGGTGGTTTTCATTCTCCAGAGTCGACCCCAATATTATCTAGATATCACAGCTTCCAACTCTCAACAAGACACTCTGTGACTCGAGAACAGTAGCTCCCATGGAAGAATCGCGGGGCTAAAGGCCAATCGTCGTCTCACCGCCCGTTAGTCATCTCTTAGCTGTCGGCCCCTCTTACGTCGGTCCCTCTCTCGATCTCTCTCATACTCTTTACTGACTTGTCCTTTACTTATTCGCACCTCCTACCTTACACAGTGTTCCATTTTCTCTTTTCTTTCATAAACCTCTATCGTCCGTCGATTGCGCTCGGATTTTGCTACTCTTCTACGTGCTCGTTGAGCTAGGTACCTGGTACGCTAGGCGTTGCAACTTGATTTATCATCACTATTGAAAGACTTGCTCTATCGCAAGGCTTTCACCTCCTGACTTTCATCATTCCTTCAAACATTCCTGTTCGAGACGCGGCTAAGCCCGGAAAGCGCAGAGCCTCTGAACACGACGTCGTCGGAGCTCGGCCAGAGAAAAGAACCATGACGGTATGATTAGTCTTGATCTTAGAGATAAGATTGCCACTAATATATCTTACCAAAGGACATTAAAATGCAGGTCGAGAACCCCCAAGAAACCATCGAAGCTATCAAGCATGGGGAGATCGACGAATCATTGTACAGTCGACAGCTGTAAGCCCCCCGCATCCCTCTTATGACATACAGATCCCGAGTATGTGCTGACACCTTAGAGATACGTTCTTGGTCACGAAGCCATGAAGCGCATGGGATCTTCCAATGTTCTGATTGTAGGTCTCAAGGGCTTGGGCGTGGAAATCGGTATGTGATTCAACTATTAATCAAGCCTCGATTTCATCCCGACGTCTGATTGTCTCCATAGCCAAGAACATCGCCCTCGCCGGTGTCAAATCCCTCACCCTATACGACCCCGCAGCAGTCGCTATCTCGGATCTTTCTTCGCAGTTTTTCCTTCAGCCAGAGGACGTCGGCAAGCCCCGTGCTGAAGTTACCGCCCCGAGAGTCGCCGAGTTGAACTCCTACGTTCCCGTTACAGTCCATGAGGGCCAGAGCCTCGTGGGCGATCTCGAACGACTAAAGCACTACCAGGCAGTGGTGCTCACACAGACACCTTTGAAGGAGCAACTGGTGATTGCTGACTTCTGCCACAAGAACAACATCTACCTTACAATTACAGACACATTCGGTCTCTTTGGTTATATCTTCAATGACTTTGGAAAGAACTTCACTGTGGGTGATCCCACCGGTGAAGAGCCTGCTGGTGGAATTGTGGCGGCTATCAATGAAGAAGGGTTGGTTTCGGCGCTCGATGAGACAAGGCATGGACTCGAGGATGGTGACTTTGTCACTTTCACTGAAGTCAAGGGCATGGATGGCTTAAACAACAGTGATCCTCGCAAAGTTACTGTGAAAGGTCCCTATACTTTCACCATTGGTGACGTGTCTGGTCTAGGATCCTACGAGGGTGGTGGTCTATTCGCTCAGGTCAAGATGCCCAAGTTCATTGATTTCCAGCCACTAGAGGATCAACTTAAAAAGCCCGAGCTTCTCATGTCCGACTATGCCAAGTTTGACCGGCCACAACAATTGCACATTGGTATCCAGGCTCTTCATAAGTTCGCGGAGACTCATGATGGCCAATTACCTCATCCCCACAATGATAGCGACGCCCAGGAGGTTCTGAAGATCGCTAACGATCTTGCTGCTACTGATGAGGAAAAAGTCGAACTGGATGAGAAGATAATAAAGGAGCTGAGCTACCAGGCCCGCGGTGACCTGAACCCATTGGCAGCTTTCTTCGGTGGTATCGCCGCCCAGGAAGTTCTGAAGGCTGTCTCCGGCAAGTTCAGTCCTATTCATCAGTGGTTGTACTTTGACTCTTTGGAGTCTTTGCCCTCATCAGTCACTCGATCTGAAGAAAGCTGCAAGCCTCTTGGTACCCGCTACGATGGGCAAATTGCGGTGTTTGGCAAGGAATACCAAGACAAACTTGCCAATGTCACCGAATTTTTGGTCGGTTCTGGTGCTATCGGTTGTGAGACGCTGAAGAATTGGGCTATGATGGGTCTGGGTACGGGTCCGAAAGGAAAGCTTTACGTCACCGACATGGACCAGATTGAGAAGAGCAATCTTAACCGGCAATTCCTCTTCCGTACCAAGGACGTCGGCAGACTCAAGAGTGAATGCGCGTCTGCGGCCGCTCAAGCAATGAACCGAGAATTGAAAGACAAGATTGTCACTCTTCGTGATCGCGTCGGTGCCGACACTGAACATGTATTCAATGAGGATTTCTGGAACGGCCTTGATGGTGTGACAAACGCTTTAGACAACGTCGATGCACGGACATATGTTGATCGCCGCTGTGTCTTCTTCCGCAAGCCATTGCTGGAGAGTGGTACCCTGGGCACCAAGTGTAACACTCAGGTCGTTCTTCCTTTCATCACGGAGTCCTACTCTAGCTCTCAGGATCCCCCGGAGAAGTCATTCCCTATGTGTACTCTGAAGAGCTTCCCGAACCGCATTGAGCACACCATTGCATGGGCACGGGATGTCTTCCAAACCTACTTCGTTGGTCCCCCTGAATCAGTCAACATGTACCTCTCTCAACCCGACTACATTCAGCAGACCCTCAAGCAAGCGGGTAATGAGAAGCAAACCTTGGAGCACTTGCGTGACTTCTTGGTCACTGAAAAACCTCTAACTTTCGATGATTGTATTGTGTGGGCTCGCCAACAATTTGAAGCGCAGTACAATAACGCGATCCAGCAGCTTCTCTACAACTTCCCCCGAGATTCCAAGACATCATCCGGTCAACTATTCTGGTCTGGACCTAAGCGCGCCCCTACACCCTTGAAGTTCGACAGCACTAATCCAACTCATCTTGGATTTGTTATTGCCGGTGCTAACCTCCATGCGTTCAACTACGGCATCAAGAACCCCGGTGCGGACAAGGACTATTACCGCAGGGTAGTTGATGACATGATTGTTCCCGAGTTCACTCCCAGCTCGAATGTCAAGATTCAGGCCAATGAAAACGACCCTGATCCGAATGCGCAGCCAGCTGGTTTGTCCAATGACGAGGAGGAAATCCAGAAATTGGTCGCATCTCTTCCCTCGCCCAAGTCTCTTGCTGGTTTCCGCTTGCAGCCAGTTGAGTTTGAGAAGGATGATGACACCAATCACCACATCGACTTCATCACCGCGGCTAGCAACCTCCGTGCAGACAACTACGAGATCCCTCAGGCGGACCGACACAAGACCAAATTTATCGCTGGAAAGATCATCCCGGCGATTGCCACAACTACTGCCCTAGCCACCGGTCTTATTGGCCTCGAACTGTACAAGATTGTTGACGGCAAGGACGACATCGAGCAGTACAAGAACGGCTTTGTTAATTTGGCCCTTCCGTTCTTTAGCTTCAGTGAGCCGATTGGTAGCGAAAAGGGCAAGTATCAAGGCAAGCAAGGCGAGGTCACAATTGACAAGCTCTGGGACCGATTCGAGGTGGAAGACATCCAGCTTCAGGAGTTCCTCGACTTCTTCGCCGAGAAGGGTTTGGACATCACCATGGTCAGCTCTGGAGTCAGCTTGTTGTATGCAAGCTTCTATCCCCCATCGAAGGTCAAGGATCGCCTTCCTCTACCGTGAGTATCTTCTCTTCTATAGCTACCCCATGCGTGAGTTAGATTACTGACATTGTACCTTGCAGTATGAGCAAGCTTGTGGAGCACGTCAGTAAGAAGCCAGTCCCCGAGCATCAGAAGAATATAATCTTCGAGGTGACCGCCGAGGACCAGACAGAAGAGGATGTCGAGGTTCCCTACGTGATGGTCAAGCTCACAAAATAAGGCGATTAGAATCTACGAAAAGCCGGTTGGCTGCATATTGCTAGTACAATAGGTAGATTTCATGACTATTCCACTCTCCACAGACTCTATATGAGTACAAATATGTGTAGAATGACCAGTGTAAACCACCTGTGTACAAATCAATATCAAATCGCTCAAGGCTGTGCCAAGACCATCCAGATCGCTTTGTCAAAGCTGATCGATCTTCCGATAAGCAAATCTGACTCAGCATTTGGTCATGCCCGGGGACGTCATGACCCCGCGAAGACGACATTTGTATTCTTTCTATATATAAGAGTGAATTCCACTGTGTCTGCCGCTTATGTTCTTTACTCTTCTGAGATCCCAACCATTGAAGTGTATTCTACGCGCAGGGCCTCTTCGTACAGTTCACCATAGCTTTGTGTTCCCCACAGTACCAATCATCTACTCCCGCAATATGGCTGTAAGAAACACAAAACACGGCCACAACAGCTCTCTTGGCTACGCTAACTTATATTTCAAGACCGTAAATTCCATGAAAATCACCGATTGGGTGAAACCCGGCGACAAGTCGGGCGAGTTCAAGCGTCAGCAATCCATCTTTCGGAACTGGATCTCTAGGGAGGCTGGAGCCCAATTCCCTCCAGAGAAGGGCCGGTACCATCTTTATGTCTCTTATGCCTGTCCTTGGGGTATGAAAGAACTTCCAATTGACTGGCCACTCGATCGGTGACTAATTATCTACTAGCTCACCGGACTCTAATTACTCGGAAGCTCAAGGGCCTCGAGGACATCATCTCCTTCACTTCGGTGCATTGGCATCTTGGGGCAGAAGGTCAAATTTATCTCATGAGTTGTGGGGAAATAGCATTGTTCTAACTCATATCTTAGGTTGGCGATTTGCTACTCCCGATGAGAAACTGCCCGGGGAGAACACTATTCCCGATCCTCTACACCCAGACTTCACCCATATCCGACAAGTCTATTTCTCCAATGATCCAGACTACTCGGGCCGGTTCACCGTCCCAGTTCTCTTCGACAAGAA